ATTTTTTTCTTGTTGGTTATTTGTTTTGTTGTTTTAGTTTGGTCGTTCTTATTCTTCTACCTTTGGGTGTGATGGGGGTTGAGGGAGGAGGGAATGGGAGGGGGGAGATTGGTTGGGGAGGGGCGAATGAGGACAGTAACAATGTTCTTACTTTACAGCAGGTAAGTTAACAAACCAAGAAACCCGTCATAAACCAACTGTCTCTACGGGAAGCATTTTTGCTTGCCAAGCGAAAAAGCGTAAGAGCGGGAATATGTAGCGTCGCATAAGACATCTGTTGTCACAACTTACTTGTAAATGTTCCAAAGACTTTATGTACAGACCTGACACGTACTGACTTGTCCGAACCTTAATTTAAAAACGTCTGGTTTTGACTCCGGCGCTCATTTTTCTCTTTGGGGACATTTGGGTGACTGTCAAAATCAAACACGGCGCTGACATGTCTATAAATAATATATCACAGAGCCGTAGATCTATAGCCGTTCTGGAGTTTTGATCCGTCCGCAGAATTAGGAACAGTACTGGGGGAACGAAGAGGTCTTGGAACATGGTGGTACTGTGTCGTCATTTACGCATAAAGACAGTCAGAATTGCAAGGGAAAAAGTGCTTTTGTAAGTGGTTGTTGGGGGATCCGGTGTGGTTTTCTCGTTTTGTCCTGTCAAACATTGGTCGTCATCCTCTTTTTTCTTTCCTTTCTTTGTGTGCTACTCTGCAGAAACTATTCTATTCTAATCTTCGATGCTTTTATGTATGTTCATGATTTTTGTGTTTGGTCAATTCTACCTTTATTTTTGTCTTGGTGAGATGCCACACAGAGTGGTCGTGAAAAAGAAATCGCTTTGTATACTTTTCTGAAAAAAATGTTATGTTTTCAAAAACCTCAAGAACTCTTCAAGTCCGAATGGTTTGATAATTTTGTCGGGGTTTTTTTTGTGTGTGTGTGTGTGTGTGTGGTTTGTTTGTTTGTTGTTTTTTTTGTTTTTTTGTTTTTTTTGGGCGGGGGAGGGTTATTCATGTTTCTATACCTTGGGGTGTTTGAAAAGCACAGTCATGAGCCTGATTATTTGAGGTTGAGCTGTGCTTGTATGAAAGAAATATTTGTCACGACTAGGTGGATTCGGGCGCTTGTCAATTTTTTGGGCATGTGGGGTTAATAGTATCGTCTGAAAGCGTGTCAAATTGTCTTGTGTTTGGTGAAAGAAAAGCCCATTTAACTTGAATGGAAGTCGAGATATTTACAATTGAAGGAGGTAGGGATCGCCTGGTTTCAGAGGTAAAGTTAGCGAGAAAAAGGTCACCAAAATGTGGTACGTTCCACTGCTTTAGGGTCCTTGGAAACTGAATGTACATCTGTCTGTCTTTAATCAACGTTCTTCATTAAAACCCAGATAGAAATGTGTTTTTAGATGGATGTAAAAGATGTTGACCCAGAAAAAAAATGGATGAAAATAGTCAAATTGGCAGAAAAATGCCGTTTTCTTTTATTTCATTATTTCGACGAGCGCCTGAAATCACCACGATGCCTCACTTAGGACCTGTCAGAGGTGCCCTTCAATGGCCCACTCTTGGCGTGAACGGAGCTATAAATATTATCAGTCTTTAAACTTGTCGTATGTGTTCACACCACCCAGTTGAAGCTGTCAACTTCTCGGCTTCTGGTTGAGAAGTTCTGCTAGTACATGAAGATACAGGGTTCGAAACCAGAGGGGTGCAAAATATTTTCAAATGCATTTGAACCAGTGAAGGCAAATTGTTGTTGTTGTTGTTGTTGTTGTTGTTGTTGTTGTTGTTGTTGTTGTTTTAGTTGTAGTCGTTGTTGTTGTTGTTGTTGTTGTTGTTGTTGTTGTTGTTCTTCTTCT